CTCAAAGCAACATTTTGTAACTGAAGTCTAGGAGAAACGAAAATAACGTCTTTGCAAAACGACATGGGCTATAATGGCGACGATTCTTTATTCCAGCAGATAATCGACGGTACTTAAGGTTGAATACTGGCTTAAGTAAAGATATCATCTGCATAATTTGGGATGCAGGCTAGTATTTAAAATAATTTTGTTAAGAAATGTTACATGTATGTCATTAACACAGAATACTACGAAGAATATTTTTCGTTTTATTTTTATCTTTCTTTCCTTTTCTTTCCCTTTACTCTTTTTCTTACGTCGATTACACACGAAGTTTTGATTACAGTAGTATTTTTAATCGAAGGCACACATTGTTAGCCAAATTTGACCCGTTATTATGATTGGCCTGTAAAATCATAGCTTATCATTAAGCATCGGAATCGAAGCAACTTTTTATGTGATCAATCAGTCTGTCCAATCACCGGAAGGAAAGAACGCTATAGCAGATCGAAGTCATGGGCGGAACGATGCTGAAAGCAAATAGTTATGTTGGCCAAGTTAATGATTACCTTTTACGCACGCAACTTGTTCATTTTCGCTTAAGGCATTTGATTATTGCCCCTGCTTTCTCCATTGTGCTTTCAACTGATATCTCCATCAAGTAGTAAACGTCGAAATAAATACACAAGTTAAAGGAATGAGAATTTAATACAGAAAGTTCCCCAAGAAAAGATTGAATTAAACATTTGATGATTACTTCGCTTTCATCTCTAGAATTCACCAGTGGAATCCAGAAGTAATTTATATTTAAAGAGATACCAGAGAAAAAAGATTTTCTTTAATCAATATAGAAGTTCATGAACATTTTGTGGGTCATTGTTTGGAATATTATGCTTATGGGAAAGTCAGTCCAAGTATGTATCAGGCTGATTACAAGACATTCTGAAATCACCTCCATCTGAAAAATCTTTAGGTTTCAAATATCTCGAGAATTAGTCACCTCGAATTTGGAATATGACTGCACTTTGGGCTCATCATAGTTCCAATCTCTCGAATCCGTGTAAATGTTACACGGCGAAATATGCACTGGATTATCACTAATTCTAAAACAGCGACATAAGATTGCCTTTGCATTAGGATATGTGTCTTGAGAATTGCTGTGTAAGGATAGACAGAGTGATGCAAATTTCATCTTCAGTGTTTAATGGCTGAGATTTTTGTGTCATTGCTGCTACATATTCCTCCTTGATATATACAGTTCTGAAATTGCAAGATTAAATTTTCTATTTTAGGATGTTTAGATTTCAAATTCTGCTTTCTCTAGAAGTAAGGATTTTAGAAACAAATTTCAAACCATTATTGAGCCACAAGACAGACACACATAGCTAAATGGTTAGAACATAGCTTCGCATCCTGATAGTTTGTGTACAGTCTGTTAATATTCTATAAAATCATGTGTGAATAACGAGATGAACTTATAAAATCTAGGATACTAAATTAGAGTCAGTGTCTTTAAAATTGTATAATTATCAGTTATTGAATAATATTAGATTAAGGTTTTGAAACAAATTTGAATGTTTGAAAATAAAAAAAAAATTCAATACGCAGAAGTGACGTCTTTAATATATTGAGATTCATTTGCAGATGAATCCATAAATACTCCATTTACTCGATAATTGTTGTTACATCTGCATTCACCTTTCATACACAAAATATAACGACTAACGACTACTATTCAACAGAAGTTTTATATAATTATTTCCTTTCAAACCGTTAATGATATGCTTGACAGCCATTTCCAAGTGGCTTGGTGTTGGCCTCAGTGTCCACTTTTATGTATATATATATATATATGTGTGTGTGTGTGTGTGTGTGTACATTTACGTTTTGGAATTATATCTATCTATCTATCTATCTATCTATCTATCTATCTATCTATCTATCTATCTATCTATCTATCATAGTCTCTATATTACTGCGGAGTGAAATGTAGGTGGCAACATTTATCTCCATATTGTGCCGCAGTCGCGTACCAAACAATACAAGCCAGAACATTCCGAACATTCCCTGCCTCAGTAAATCAGCCGAATCGATTTTACCAGGAATTTTCTCTTCCTTCCACGCTTTCCTCTACTCTTCTGCTTCTTTTTCTTTCTCTCTCGCTTCATTGACGCCATCCAGACTCCGTTCCAGTATTTTTTAACATTTTGACAAGATATTTTTCATGTCTTTGGCTTTCCAAATGATTTGATATTGGTTTTTAGATTTTTTTTTTTTTTTACTCTTATTTACGCTTTTTTCGTTCACTGCATTTTTTTTAAATCTCATCTCGCGCTTTAGATATATTTTTTATTTTGATTGGACCAGTTACAAAAGAATAAAAAACAAACAAACAAAAATCTTTGTGAATATTAACCAAATAATGACCGGTCGTTTCCGTTTGTCGAATTCCAAGCATTCCAGATGATTTCAAATTTTTTATGCAAAAAAATATTGCCTTCCTTTGCATCATTTACTGTCATGAGCGTTTCCTATCTCACACCTTTAAAACTCCTTCTCTTATTATTATTATTTCGCCTTAATAATTCGTTTCCTGTAGGTTTTTTGTTTATATTTAATTGTTTTTTTATATCATTATTAGATTACTGTGAAAAATGTTCATTTTAAAAGTATAGTCCTGTAAAATCGTTCCCTATATTATCTGAGTTAGTGATTATTCTATTTTATAGTTGACCAAGGAATTTCATTTATCCATTTACAAATATAGAATTTATATTTAGTTTAGACTAGCACAAAGCCAAATGAAAAAAATAAGAGTAAAAGAGAATTGTATTACGACAATATTTAAATCTTTTCTGCTTTGAAATATTTGTCGTTTTATCCGGCTTTGAACGAAGACGCTTGGTTGAAATAGCTGCGTTTTTTAAGATAAAAAATACCGAATTATCAACTTTCTTTGTATATTTGTAATTGTAAGAATTACTAACAATTCATATGAATTTTTAATGTAGATTCAGACATTATTTAAATATAATGAATCAATGTCTATGGCGTCGTTTTTACTGCAACATTATTTTAGGCTAAATACATTTTATTAGACAACAAGTGCATCATGAAATGTTATTACCTGGATCAGGTTGATCAGCAGCGGTGCTTAAAATTATCAAAACCACTTGTGAGTAAGAAAGTGTGTTCGTCATACATCTCAGGAAAAAAATTACATGCGAACTTGAATCAACGAAGATAATGATACTTATTCAATTTAATGCGTGAAATAATTTTCTTCATGTTGTCTATTTTTATCCAAAAATTATATGAATATCGATCTTCATGACGCTTTATAGCAAGAATGATTATTCTACTAGTTTCTCATGCTTGAATTCCCATTCAGGGAATAAGGCCAATGGCTAATCTTAAAGTTCCAACCAGCTCAAACAATTGTAGAATTTTATAATAATAGACTTTATGTTTAAATTAAATTCAAGTTTTGTCTTAATATTTGAACGAATTATGGCTATTTATTAACTACGTAGGCGACCTATATTCCCCCTCTCAATATAGACAAATTAGTCTCCTCAGCATCATCAGTAAGCTTTTTGAGGTTTTAATCATCAAGAAGGTCGTCGGGCACATAGATAAGAACAACCAGCGACGAGCAGTATGGGTTTCGATCAGCCAGATTCACTGCTGACGTCCTAACTACCAGCACACAAAAAATCAGTGAGGTCCTTGACGGCACACACACCGCAAGGACCATAGCAATACATATCTCGAGGGCCTTCAACAAGGTGTGGCACAAATCTTTGCTATGGAATCACTGGAAGGGTTTTCTCTATTATAAAATCCTTCCTAGCAGGTAGATCCCGAAAGGTAGTTATTAACGGTCACTCCTTCGAGGCCATCACGATCAACACAGACATCACCCAGGACTCACTTTTTGGACCAACCTGCTTTCTGATTTACGCAAATGATCTGCATAAGAATATACGATACGACTTTATACGGGCGCATATCTAAAATTCTTGATGATCAGAGATTGGCAGCTAACCTCTCTTTTAATCTAACACTAACTTCTCAATGGGGAAAAGACTGGCTGGTTACATTCAATGCCTCTAAAACCAAACTGGTTACACTCCATCACCGCCGATCATACCCTGAACAATTGCTAGTCACGATGAACGGATGTCTCATCGTGGAAGACTCGTGTCTTGAGATTATACTGAGCTTCAAACTTGCACTTAGCCTCAAGTGGAACTCATATATATACTATCCCTCGCTAAAGATGTAGGTAAAATGATCGGATCCATGTACCGCTCCAGTATGTACCTGACTCCTCATGATATCCTCTACTTTTATAAGAGTCAGATCAGGTCGAAAATGGAGTAGTATTGGCATATTTGGGCGAAGGCGGACCTGTCCTCACATTTTGATCTTGACAGAGTTCAAAAGCCTCTCAGAGTCCTTGTTGGAGATTAATTATTTTCCACCCTATAGCCTCTCTCTCCCACAGGCGAGATGTGACAAGTCTTTAACTGATCTATCGTTACCATGGAAAATGCTCGGACGTACAGCATTTCTTGATTCCACCAGATCTGACTTTCAAAGCCCGTCATGCCACTTACATAGTTGTAAACCACCCGCATTCCCTTCGTATTCAATCGGCGAGAAGTAAGTTCCTCTCAAACAGCTTCTTCCCGCGAACAACTACCTATAGAACAGACTCCCAAGAGGATGTTTCCTCGTTCACTACAATCTACCTATTCAAACCTATAGTCAACAGCTATCTTCCCCTCCTATCCATATAAATTACCCCTTAACGTAACCCTCTACCTTGAGTGTCCCCCGGGCCTTGTACAGGGTGAACCTTACTGTAAAAAATAAAAAATACCCTACACTAGTCAAATTGTTTCAAATCTCTTTGGAGATTCTTCTATACTGATTATTTGAATTATTGTTGTTTTGCTTCTCTATTATTATCATTATTAAAACTTTGTTTTTTAATATTTTAAAAATATTTTCAGGAAATTAATCTGAATGACTTTGCCCATGAAGTCCGATGGCCAAACAATTTGATTGGGGTAGCTAGTTGGCCAGAATGGAAAGATTCAACTGTTCGACAAGTGACGGGACTTGGCACAAACACCAGAGGCGATGTCGTTGTCTTTCACAGAGGAACTCGCGAATGGGGAGTTCGGTACGCCTATTCATTATTTTCTCATTTTCAATAATAATTATGGCAACCAATCGAGATTAATGACTATTATTAATATTTTTATTTTATTATTTATTTTATTTCTTTTGATTTCTAGTGTATACTCATTTCTTTCCGGGTCTCAGCCAGAGACCTAAGGTCAGAAAATAACACATATTTTAAATACATAAAGATTATTATTATTATTATTATTATTATATAGATATATTTTTAATCGTTTCATCCCAAGCAAGGCGATAATGCAGTGGGTTACAGTGAGTGAAAGAAAATGAAAGACCCTAGTGTCGAAGATTGAAGAAATAACAATAGAGGAACAGGGTTCAAGAAGCCCGAAGATGGTAGATGATATTGCACTTAAATATTTGAAGATTGTACTTCAGAGAAGCAAGAAATCGGGAGGGAGTTCCACCAGTGAGAAGTGCAAAAAAAAACCCTGTTATAGTAGAAGTAGCGGTTGCATCTAGTTAGTTAAATAGTAAAATGGTGAGGCCTAGTTGCCAATCTAGTAGCACGTTTAAATTGATGTAGTTGAGGGACCAAGGAAAAAGCACATCAGAACAGTTGCCATGAAAATATATATAGAAAGGACAGAGGAAGCCACATCACAAAGTGAATGAAAGTTGAGATGCCTGGTCAGGATCGATTAAATTACAGGCCCTTTGAATTTTGTAAAGAATCTGGCGATATACAACAGTCACACCAGACCACATGTGGCAACGGTATTCAATGCACGGATGAATGATAGATGTGCAAGATGGGTTCTGACAAGGTAAATATTCTGGCACAACAGAGTGAACCAACTTTCTTTGCAGTAGATTTAGCAATTGATTCGATATAGTCTCATGTCAGTGGAAAACGTGAGGCAACAAAGGAGTTTATCATCAGCCATGCTGATGGCATGCAAGAAAGGTTCTCTGTGTAAATTAAATGAACGCCGTTTTGTTTTGGTTTACAAGCCATTTCTTGCCCCAGTTAACCAGTGGACGACTCTTTTAAGAGCAGATGACAGGTTTAATTTGTTGGCCTGTCGGACTATCTTTTTGCAATGATGTTCACCCTATACAAGACTAAAAAGCCACTCGAGGGAGATGGTTACAAAGAGACACCCTCCCAAGCAAGGTGATAATGACACCAAGATGCCACCTAAAGTGAAAGAGAAATATACAGGAACCGGAAACCCAAACCTATACAGGAAAAAGGGATGAATCTCTACTCTTGTTCAAAATACCGTAGAGGAATGTGAATCAGACGATAAACTCAGAAACAGTGTAGATCCAAGGATAGATCTCTGGGGGACCCCTACGTTAATATGAAATGATCTGAAAGCATGCTTCATTAATCGCTTTGTTAAGAACGATTGAACGATTGGATTGTGCCAAATATTCTTCCCATGTCACTGTAGTCCTTGAGCTTCCGTATAAAAATATCTTTGGGAGCGCATATTTTTCTCTAATAAGGATTCTCGAATATTCAGTCCAGTAGACGAAAATAAATAAATGTACTGTTTAAGAAATAAACGGAGCGTTTATTCAAATACGAGTATACATTAAAATAATATTTAAGTATTAAAAATCTGTCGGATTATTAAATAAAAAAATACATTACTTTCTTCAAACACACACAGACATACACATGCAAATATATATATATATATATATATATATATATATATATATATATATATATATATATATATATATATATATATATATACGTGAACATTGAAGTCAACATCCAGCGGTTTGTTTTCAATCGTCAGTCTATCTTGATATTTAACACTTTAAACCATAAATATAGTAAACTTTAAAACTATATATATATATATATATATATATATATATATATATATATATGTGTGTGTGTGTGTGTGTGTGTGTGTGAATGACAGGATAAGTAACAAATAAGAAACGTACGTTTATAAATTTAACATGTTTTGCTTTTCTTTAAGCTTAATCAAAAAAATTAAATATGGGTGAGAAAGTACTGGTATTTTATAGCTTTGCGTTGTTTGTTTTCGTTGATTAAGTAGACCTCACGTGTATTTGTCTTTTCTGGTAGCTTCATGTATATAATGTTGAGCGTTTGAGTATCATAATTGGGCGATGCGGGATTTGGTTGATAATACGTGTGCTTGTTTGTGCGTTTAGTGGACATTTTATTTCTGTCTGGTAGTATCCGTATGTTGATTGGGGGATGTTTTGTGCAGGAGTGAAAGAATTTAGGTTCACCAGTTGTGGTTGTGGGTAATCTTTCACTACCACACAAAAATTCCCTAATCAGGATGCAGATACTACCAAACAGAAATAAAATGTTCGCTAGACGCACGCATGCGCGCGCATACACACACATTATCAACCAAGTCCGGCATAGACCAGCAAACACACAAGCACGGACTCTATGCCTACATTAGGGACGGGTTTCCTTGTGGCAGGGACGCAAAAGACTACGACCTTGATCTCCCTTATATGTACTTCCGCGTGGCACTTATCGATATTACCACATAACCACCACGAAGAATGGTTAGTCCGCTCGAACAAAACCGATGAAGAAGGCAGATATTGCAGAGATTTCTCCATGAACTAACCCAGATCATCGAAGATCTCACCTTCTCGAATTTTTCTTCATATTCTATCGTGAAAAATGCTTAGCAAAAGTTTTAATCTCGGTACGTCATATCATTCCATAGACAGTATCTAGAGTGATGCCAAGCCAAAGGCACCCCCTGATTTGCCGTTCCATACAACGATTTTTCGCTACACGAGGGCAGATTGGGTCAGCTTTCGATTTATGGCTGAAGCTTCTCTCTCAACTTTCTTCAAGCACGCTGCCTCCAAAACTTCTTCCCTCGTCTCATAATGTATCCTTTCTGAAAAGGAGAATTTTGTACCCAAAACAAATTCCCACAAAAACCAATCAGCAGTCCTGGTTCACCCCTGAATGCACTGCAGCCATAACTCACCGCAAATACTATTTCAATATCTCAAGGAGGGATACATTCAGAACCGCCCACAGTCACTGCAAGAAAATTCTGGAAAATTCAAAGTGTAGCAATGCACAAGTGTTGAAAACAAAAAAATTGGACCCCGAGAATTCTGGAAGATCGCCAACTAAATTATAAACAGAGACAAAGCGGCTGTAACCACTACTATAAATAGCTCCGAGGTCATAGATAGGGCGAAGTTCTTTGCTCCGAATTCAACGTTAGATGACGAAGGCCAATCCTTTCCCCAATTCCCCACGTCTCACTGAGCACAGTCTCTGTAATATTTTCGTTACAGCCCGGGAAGTCTAAAGACATATCAAAAGCAATAAACCCGATAAAGTTACTGATCCAAAGCTGGACCTATCCTAGCGAAGATATTTAACCGCTGCTTGTTGAAAGTGTCAAGCATATACCCGGTTTTCAAGAACGTGGACGAACGCTCATTCCCCTCTCAGTATAGACACATCAGTTTCCTTAGTATAATTAGTAAGCTTTTAAGGTTAATGAACAAGAGGTTTGGTGAACATCTACATAAGAACAGACTCATGAGCGACAAGCAGTGTGGGTTTCGATCGGCCCGATACCCTGCTGATGCCCGAATTACCATTACTCATTAAATTACTGAGGCTCTTGTTAACAAATACGCCTCAAGGTCCATAGCAATAAATATTTTGAAGGCATTTTATGAGGTGTGGCAAAAAGGTTTGCTGCACAGGCTCTCTAGCTATGGAAATTTCGGAAGAGTTTTCTCAATTATAAAGTCATTCCTAATGGGTAGGTCCACGAAGGTAATTGCTAACGGCCAGTCCTCCGGAGACCTAGTAATCAATGCAGGCGTCACTTCTCGGCCGGACCTTTTTTTTACTTTACATAAATGATCTCTGGGGGAGTATAGGCATATAATTTGTGAATATTTATACCGATGATACGACCATATATGAGTGCACCTCCAAAACTAGTGTGGACCTGAGATTGGCAGGTGATCTCTCATTCGATCTAGCTCTAACATCTCAGTGTGGGAAAACTGGTGAGTCCTTGTGGATGACAAATTATTTTCCACTCGCCAACCACTCTCTCACGGACGGGATGTTCAAGCATCTCACTGCTCGATCGATGGAAAATACTCGTGCGAACTGTATTCCTTTATTTCCGCCAGTTCTAACCATCACGGCTAGGATCCGCCTTGCTATTCACATTGTAACAAAGCATCCTCATTCCATCCGTATTCCATTAACGATCAGTAAGTTCCATTCGAACAGCTTCTTCCTAAGAACCACTGTTCTGTGGGTGCAACTTTCAAGAGTATTCATCTAATAAACATTAGATATCAAGCAATAGTTATTTTTCTCAAATCTTCCGCACTTTATACATTTCAACATTGTGGTACAAGATAGTACAATTTGCAGTGTGCTTTTAATACATAAAAGACTATCACCTCAATGTTTCACAGCTTCTCTGATATGGTCTTCACATTCATCGTTAATATTCTTCTTCTTCTTATTATTATTATTATTGTTGTTGTTGTTGTTTCTGGTGTTACTGGTGTTGTTTTTGAAATAAAAGAAGTAGTGATCGAGGTTAAATTTCAATGAACCGCAAGAAGAAATGGCTTTTCTTAAATATACTGTCATGTTTATTTGTTATTTATTAATTCTGTTTCATGTTTTGCAGGTCATTCGACCGTTCCAACAAATTTCGAGGGCATGGTCCTATCAAGCAGAATACTATTGTGACTCTGACAAACAGTACAGGGACAAAGATATCAGCCTTTGGCGCCAATCTGTAAGTTGAAAACCAATGACACCTTTCTCATTTAAAACTAAGTTGCCGAACTGGCATCGGTCTTGATAGAAGTTAATGGGATTATCTTGAAATCCAGTTGGAATCAGGTTATGCATTATGTTCAACTGGATGTTTGGTATCAAATATAAACTCAGCAGAGTCAATAAAAACAGAAAGTTGTAGCTTATATATATTTTTTGTTTAATTCCAGTTTTTATGTATTTGTCCGTGACTATGTGCGTGCGTGAATGCAAGTATAAAAGGCGTTAACTAAAGTCAATCAATGAAAAGACAATTTCAGAAATTTTATCGAAGCATTTTCCTTAAAAAACTTACTTCAATAACAACATCTTGGGTAATGGCAAGCCTAGAGTCTATACTGAATGTTGCATAATTGTGTTTAGTGGGTGACTATCATCATGATGGTTAGCAGGCAAATCTCTCACACCAATAGCGATTTCGATACTTATTAGCTGCATATTTATCACCGATAATATTTGGTGTTCGAGACCAGGTCAAGGTAAAATTTCAAATGCAGTGTTCCAAGGCAGGCAAAAGTTTTTCTCTTGAACTCTAATCCTTTCTTCAACATCTCCACCTGAGTTTTCGTCTGATTTTAGTGGAGCTTAAGTGACATCTCTTTTGGAAATGGTTGGTTGTTTTTTAGAGCCATATCAAACCGTATGTGTTATTTGATGCCGAAATCTAAATATGAGAAAACAAACTTTATAATTAATTCAAGAGAATGTATTACTGGTAATTTTAATATAAAAATTTATTGTTTTAATAAAAACGTATAGCTGTTAATTTTACTATAAAAATGTATTTTTATTCATTGTTAGTATTTTTGTTTTTGGTTGGAGTTTTTGATGTCGTATCATCTATTCTCTTTAGGACCAAAAATTTGACTTTGTGGGTGACAGAGCTGTTTTTTTTGGTTGATCATGTTTTTGGTGGGATTTTCAGGGAATATCTATTTTGAGAGTTGGTGGCCTGATTGATGATCTTTGAGGGATTTGTTTAATGAGGTTTGCTTTAGGTGGAAATTTGGAGTTTTGTTTAGGTAGTGTTTGAACCATAGTACGTGGATTTCAAATGGGTTCTTCTGATTTATTTAGTAATTCTGTTTTGCAGCTTTCAGCCGTCTACGTTCTTTTTAGGAGTTGTTGGAATTCAGGCTCGTTTGGTCCTTGTTACACTAACTGCTTGATGAGTGTTCCACATTTGTCTGTTTTTTTTTTTTTTTGTTATTGCTGCGAATTGGATTAACTTTTTGGGCTACATTGGCATCCATACGACCTTTCATATATGAATCCACTATTATTCTTGCTTCTGGGAGATATATATTTCTTCTATATTTTACTTCCATGATTTCATTTATTGGGGATGTATTGTTCAACCCTCTCGATCGTAAATCCAATTTTTATTGCTTTTTGACACTGAGGGTTTATTAAATGTTAATATATATATATATATATATATATATATATATATATATATATATATATATATATATATATATATGTGTGTGTGTGTGTGTGTGTGTGTGTGTGTGTGTGTGCTTGATTTGTTGATAGTCCTTTTTATGCTGACCCTTCTATAGTTGGTGACCCACTTTCGTAAGGTTGCATTTATTTCCTCCGATGTAGCCAGAGACAGCTTTCTATTTCTGATAATTCCCTTTGATTTGATAAGTCTTTCATGTGGGTAAGCTTTACATTTTAGATTGTGGAAAGATTTCATTTTAAGTATCTTATCTGCGTGTTTTTTAGTGTTCTCGTATACAATTAGATTGCTAATTCTCATTGTTTTCACTGTCCGAAAAGTTGCCCTGCTGGTGATTATTTATTTCTATTAAGAATGAAGGCATATTAGCCAGAGGAGAGTTTTCCTCTGGGGATTTATTCATGATGAATCTCGGGATTTTACTTCTGGCTTCTGTTTCTGAATCAGTCAAAGAGATTCCGTTGGCGGTTTTTGATTGAGTTTACCGTGTGATTTGTTTTTTTTTCATTGGTCTTGTGTTACACCACGGAATCCAATTTCTATTGACAATTTACTGAGGGTCTTAAACACATTCGCATCGGTTGAGACAGGGACATCGACCAGTATACTCGCGTCGTGAATGTACTTTGAGCTCTGCTAATTTTGAGTTTCTGTACCCAATAAGAAACTGAAACCTCATAATGAAACAGTGGTTAGAGTTTTTTTTTCTTCTCGATTCGATGGACACTTCATCCCCCACCTTCTAGCCCTTTAAAATAACGAAGGGTTGGGCGTTAGATCGTCATGTGATCCGCTTGTAAGACATTGTCTGGCTTAATTGTATTAATCGATTGGTCAAGTGAAGCCAGATTGATTGGATCGTGTCTCCCCGACCGCCCGTCTAGCCCAAGTAAGAACCAAAGAGAAGTGCTGTCTGTCACATGACCACTTATACACCAGAGTCACGGAATACTCACCCACCAGGTTTCCGTCCTCAGTCATTACGGGTGGCCACGGCAAACAGGTTGTCTCATTAAGGGGGGGGTCTTACTCCTCTGCAGAGGTTTAGCGACGTATTTTACAAACCCCTGCCGACATTTTCGCAATGGTTTGCTATTCTTGTCATTCTGTAAAGGTCTTCGGGATTTTCCTCGTAATTAAGATGCGATCAAGATATTTCACATCTTTTTAGTTTCCTTGCGAACAAAGGTTGGTCCCGATGTTTATTTAGCTTTGCCAGTTTTCGTTTCACTGTGTAATTTGCTGAAAAAAATTATATTTACTGACCTTATTCCTTGTTTTTGATTACTATTACTAGATCCGGTCTCATTAAGATGAACTTTTTAAATTACAAAGCCTGAAATACATTATCCTATCTGTTCTTTTGAACAATATCTGACTTGAATTTAAGTCATTTGCCTTTGCTATTTGCAGAATTATATTCTTTAAATATCAATAAAAGATGATTATTGGTTCGTGAGATCTGCCAGAAATACAATTTTAAATTTTTTTCTTGGTTTTCTCAAAATAAAAAAAAAACAAAAAAACGACAAAATTTTCTTCCTTTAAAGATTTCCTTCGTTACGTGAATATTTGCCGATAAAATAAGCTTAATTTATTAGTAACATTGGAATGAATTACGTAAACATCATTCATATGACTGTATTTTTCTCATTTTTTTTCAGACTGACGCCTAAAATTACCATAAATATCTAATCCCATCTTTTTAACCATTAAACTATCTTAAAATGGCAAAATTAACAATTTGGGAAAATGATGAATTTAAACACTTCCGCATTTATTCAACATTCGCCCCTATACTAAATACGTAAATTTAGTAAAATTGATTAGTTTGTTACTTTAACCTGGAAAGGCAACGGGTTTTGAATGCATGTTGCAAGTGAGAAGTTTAGCATCGTCATTTTTTAAAAATTCGTTTAATTCAAATTATTGATCAAATTTTTTCAAACTTTCTTTTAGTTTTTGCGCTTTTATTTACTCTCTTATCGTTGAAACAATTTATTGAAAATGTTGGAATCACTTAAAGTTTCAAGTGAAAAAGATTTTATAAGAAAAAAAAAAGATTTCAGGTTGCAGCATCCTGATTGGTAGCAATGAGTCCGAACTCTTTAATAGCGCATAGAGAGGATTCGCTGGTCAACAGTCTCATAATATAGGGGTATGTTCAGTGGCATGTCGCGGATGGGTCGGTGTCCTTGCATGTACATCTGGTGCACAACGCTGAAGCAACTACTGACCGCTTTGTATTGCAAGAGATGTTGCAAAGTGATGATAGTGAATTGGTAAATAGGATTGTACCTATTTGCATATATTAAGTAGAAGTGAAATAGTAAACTAAGAGACAGACAAGAAGTTGACTACTGAGAACGTGTTGTAGAAAAACACAATGCAACAATATGACGTCACCGATAGGATGTTTAAGTTGCTTGGATGTAACAGAATTTGACGAGACTTAGATCCGGTGTTTTGTAGCCCAGGCTAGGGCTAACAAATTGAAAGAGAACAAGGAAATGGGAAGAAAATTAAATAACTGACCACTTTCTAGCTTCGGCAGGTTGTGAAGCTATAACGAAAATTTCTGCTATGACATAACCCAAACAACAGGAGAATTTGACTTTTGTCAAAATTTCAGAAATTAAAAATAAGTTTACGATCTCAAAAGAAAATTGTCATAGCGGAGAGAACCAAATTTCTGTACAGTAAACAAAAACAAGATGCATCAATTATGCGATATCTTCACAGATTAAGAGAATCTACCAGATTCTGCGAATTTGAGAAACTTGGAACTCATGATAATGAGGATATATTGATTCAATTAAAGTTGATTGAAGATATGACTGATGCATTTACAATTACAATTGAATAATTTGTCTCTAACTACATCTTTGGAAGTTATGCAACAGCTGGAATTGATTAAAACATAATTCTACTGAGAACAATGTTGTAGAAATGCAAATATTGTAACTATGAGAATGACATCGACAGAAAAAATGCCCTGTTGTTTGGAAACATTTACTATAACTACGGAAGAAAAAATCATTTTCAGTTTGTATGCAAAGTTAATTAAAATTTCAAAGGTATCTATACCTACTAATAAAAAAGGGAATTAGAATTTAGGATTGGTTAATTTTTCTAATAGATACCTATCAATATATAGCAACCTAATAGAATCATTTGCTGAACTCCGGAAAAAGAATAGTGAGTTCAAATGGACTCAAAGCCCAAGGTTAACATTTAAGGAGTTAAAAGAGATACAGAAAAGCCCACTGTAAAAATCTTTGATCCCAGAAAATAGGTTGAGTTATCTACGGATACGAGAGAGCAAGCTGTGTTAGCAATTTTATTGCAAGAAGGTCATCCAATAATGTACCTTTCAAGAAGATTGATAGCAGCAGAAATACATTATTCAGAAAGTGGCATTGGCCATTGTCTGGAGCACAGACAGAGTTTGACAATTCTTATTAAGAAAGAAGTTCCTATTAACGTCAGACCATAAATCTCTAGAGTTTATTTTTTAACCCTAGAAAAGAAAAAGGTTCCTAAAGTACCAAAAGTTACTTCTTCCAGAATTCTAAGGTTGGCAATAAAATTAATGGCATATGATTTTGACATTGTGTATGTCGATGAGCTGTAAAGGTTATAATTTAATAAGGATCAAAAAGAAAAAAATGGAAATCCAGGATGAAGAAATATTACATTGGGTTGAGACTGTCATATTATCTCTACAGAGATTGGTATCGGAAACTCTACAGGATCCAATATTAGGCAAGATTACTGAGAGGATAAGAAGAACCAAGTCATAAATTAATAATGGAAAACTGTGTTATATGCAATGGAGATGTGATAGTACCACCACGAAAAGATATTTTAAAAAGTGTACACGATAATGTGCATTGGGGGATGGCGGCTAAAAATTAAAATTGGAGGCATGGTATCCAGGGTATTACCGCGATATAGAAAGCTATGTACAAAAATGTTCAAAATGTGCATAAACGAAGAATTTTCGACAAAGGAAAATACACTCATGGTTTAAAGAAACGGAATCATGGTCCCGTGTTCATATGGACCAGGCACACATTAACTATTTCTAATTTAAGTAGACTCCTTCGCTGGATGGCCTGAAGTCGTTAAAGACAGAAAAACAACTCCAATGAAACAAATACTAAGAGTGGTATTTTCCTGAAATGGTGTCCCTAAAACATTAGTATCAGACAACGCACCAGAATTTTGTGATGAAGATCTATGTAATTGGTTGAGGCTGATTGGCTACTTCCCTTACAAAACACCATTGTACCACCCACAGTCTAATGGGATTGCAGAAAGAATGATGCAGAGAGCAAAAATGGGATTGAAAGAATTTTCCCAAAGTACAGATACCATAGACGTTTATTTACCAAGGTTACTGCTTAGTTATAGGACTAGATTGAAATGAGAGATCTCCATTAAGAATGTATTGCTCGTGTCGAAAATGATTTACAATCTGTTATTAACTGGGACAAGAAATGACTTGTTAATTTTAATACCTCGAAAACGAACCTGCCCTCTTAATGGTCTTAGAGAACTAGTCTTTGCTTTTCATCACCATAAAGTGGAACGATCATATTGAATCAATTGCTAGGTCTACTGCCAGAGAAGTCGTTTCACTGTGTCGTACTAGATAACTTTTTTCGTATGAATCTATCTTACACATTTATAAGTCTACCAGTCGTCTATGCATTGACTATTGCTGTCACATCTGGTCGAGTGTTTCTACTATGTATTTATAAATTTTTAATAAAATCCAAAGAAGAATCTGCAATGCTATTGAACTTGACCTGGCATCTCTGCTTCAATTACTTTCCCACCACTGTAACGTAGCTTCTCTGTGCTTTTTCTATAAATACTTTCATAATTCTGATGAGCTTTTCTCTTTGGCACCTTGACTTTATGAAGTTAAGAACAGTACTACATAGGCAACTAGGTCTCATTATTTTACAGATGAAATGACTACGTTCTATGCTAACAGTTTTTCACTCGCACTTGCTTTCCACTCAGTTGTGCTTAAATATTTAAATGCAATGTCAATCGTT